CAGTCGCTGCAAGACGGATCCCCTTATCCGTCGATCGTGTTATTATGAGCCTCTTCATGAGTTGGCGTGTGAGGCATGGTCACCGACACCGGGGCTGATCGCAGACAGAGCGCGCCTGTTGCGCCTCAGATGACGACTCGGAGGAACCAGCGAATCGGGTTTGGCAAACGGGCAAACGCGAACCAGCATTTCCTCCCTCGCACACCTGATCTCGGGCAGGGCAGGCAGGTAGTTTCCACGCGACACAGAAACAAAGAGATGTTTAAAACTACAAGCACGTGAACCAAGCAAGCGTCTTTTGCCTTCCGATACCTCATACTACAAACGGGGGTGTGAACCGCAGCTGAAATGAAAGTGAAATAGAATATATAACCCCCCCCCCCACACACACACCATCACCACCTTTTCATGTTTTTCGAGTTGAATAAGGACGGGGTTCAAAACCATAGACAGAAATAATGTTAAAGAGAAACTGAAAAAAAAAATGCAATCGCAGGCTGTCGTCACTTTACTGCTGCTGGATGTGTCATTTGACAACCTGGAGACGAAGGTGAATTACAGGGACATCACTGGGATTTGAGTGCAACAGCAGCGTGACACAGCGCAGCTCAGTAAGGCACATCCTGCCAAACCAGGACTAACTCAGAGGCTTTCGGTCTCGGAAAGCAGTTTTAAAAAGGCTCCCTGCGCAGGTTTCGGCTGCGGCTCCCGGGCTGGTGGACTGAGGGCCGAGGCTGCTCTTCTGACAAACGCAGAAGGGTCTCGCTCTGCAGCACCTGCCAGTCACTGCAGGAGCGGGCTGGGGTGGAAGGCGTTCGCCACCTGTCTCGCCTTAGTTAAACTGTTTAACAACGGATCACGCTTCCTGCGATACCTGAGGAGACTCGTTACTGTGCCCGTGTCCAACTGGACCGCGGTGCCTGTGGGACTGGCCAGCTCAGACTAGCCCACAGCTGGGGCACAGTCCAGGCCAGCCAGAGCTCAGCGAGGAGCTTGGCCCACAGCGGTGCCCACGGCAGACTGCACACACAGGCCAGCTGGCAGCCTTGCCTATGAATGAGCAGGGCTGCCAAGCATTGTGGGCTCTGTGATGTCTTCATCACAATGTGAGCTCCCGGGATTAACAGGAAACCAGGAAACTGACCAGCACTGTACACAGGAAGCGATTAGGACAAAGTCCTTAATGTCCCCCAAGAGACCTCTTAAACACAGCACCTGCAAAGTGAGGCACGAGTGAAGATTACTCATTCTCTCCCTTGTAACGCGCACCTGCCCCGCAACTGAAAAAGAAACACATCCAAGGGCCAAACAATGGGAAATTTGAGAAATCTTGGTTTTAGAATATAAGGCAGTTGTACTTCAGTTTAATATATCACAATTTTTTAAATCCATACAAATCAGGACACATACTGCGAGATCAGGTCTGCTACACCCACTGGTGAAACAGTATACCACAGCACCAGAGGGCAGCACCTCGGGGTCTTTACTCGTGGGCCTGGAAAACCCCAATCCAGTTAGCCCTGTGTGTCACCCTAAATACGGGACATCAGCTGATCATGTAAGCAAGGATTTCATTCCAGGAACCCTCGTGCTTGGAAGCTGGAGGGTGTTCAGATGGGTGGCTGGGAGCCCCAGCGCTCGCCAGGCCCGATCCAAGCCCCGAGAGCCGGAAGGGCAACACAGGAGCCGCCGCGGAGAAAAGACATCGGGGGGGCTGGTTTTCGAGCGCCGCCACCGCCGCGCGGTTTGAGTGGGCGGCGTGTCACCACACACAGGACAAAGCAGCGCATCCGTTGGACAGGGCAGGTTTATTTCAAGCTGCTCTCTGCACGGCGCCAAGCAGCGACGCCCCCCTGCTGAGGCTGTTGCAGAAACTGCTGCAGCAGTGCTGTCCAGGCTAATGAAAATACACACGTCCCCTACATTCAGAGTAACCCCCCCACAACAAAGTCACCAGAATTGTACCCCCCCACCCACACTGCCCAGTCTCTGAGGTTTGTTAACACAGCACAAGTGGCCACAAGGACAGACCCCCAAAAAAATAGTGCCCCCAGGTCCGACTCCAACGCTCCTCCTGATTCAGCAGCGATGGTCCGGAGTCCAGACTGAATCCCAGAATCCGAGGGTGTGGAGGCAGGAGTATGAAGCCGGCCAGGATCGCTCGCTCACAGTCCGGCTCCGCGCGGACGGAAGTCCCGGCTGGCAGGAGTGGACCCCGCTCTGTCCTTGCGCTGTCCTGGGCAGGCCTGGCGGCGGGGCGTCCGCAGTAGAGGCTGCAGAGGAAAACGGGGAGCCCTCTCCCCTCTCCCTGTGACATCGCCGCTGTGCAGGGACCGGATCGGGTGCCCGTGCCCCTCCTCACCTCGCCACCCCGAGTGCCCCCTCTGCCGGGCAGCTGGCTCGCGGCGAGGAGGACGGCGGCCGGCGGGCGGGAGAGCGGCGCTCACTGCTGCTTGGAGCGGGGCCAGAAGCGGCCGGCGATGGAGCCCAGAGACAGGCCCTGGGACTTGTGCTGGGAGCTCTCCGACAGGCGCTGCTGCTCCTCCTGCAAGGCACAGCACAGCGCGTCACACCCCCGCCAGCAGGAACAGCTGCAGAGCATCACCCGCGCACAGGCCGGGTCTGGACCCACAGCACCGCCCCTACAGCAGCGTAGTCTGGAGCGTAAGGAACTGTCCGTGTGTGTGTGCGGGTCAGGGGTGTGTTTTGGTACCTGTGGGGGTCGGGGTGTTGATTACCTGTGTGGGTCAGGGGTGTGTGTGGTGGGGGTCGGGGTGTGCTGGTTACCTGTGTGGGGTCAGGGGTGTGTGTGGTGGGGGTCGGGGTGTGCTGGTTACCTGTGTGGCTCAGGGGTGTGTGTGGTGGGGGTCGGGGTGTTCTGGATACCTGTGCAAGCTGTGCTTGTCGGCGTTTGAAGGCTGCAATGGGATCCTCCTCGTGGGCGTAGTTCTCCAGCACTGTGCGGACGTCTTCAACCCCACTGAGAGCGATCGCTGGCAGGGAGAGAGACAGGAGGCAGGATGAGGTTCACACAGTCTCTGCTACAACACCTTCACATCGTCACCAGCTGTCCAGTCTCTTCTTCTCACGACTGAGCTGCTTCTGCCAACTACAGCCCTCGGTCCCAAATCTGAATCGTCGGTCAGCAATGCTGAAGTGATGGTCTCCAGCCCCACACTGTGACAGGAGTGGAACCTCTCTCACTGGTGCGTCTCGCACTGCCTGGCAAGCGATCGGAAACCGAGCCGCGGCCGTGCACGAGCACACGCACGGTGCCGGACTCACTCTTGAGGAAGGCCGCCAGGTCGTAGAGGGCACGGTCCTCCGAATTCCCGTCCCACTTCTGCAGGGCCAGCCCGTTGAAGGGCTGCAAGCTGAAGGCCTCCCTCTTGCAGTCCACCACGATCACCTTCGAGGTGTCCCGATTCAGGCAGGAGACGTCCTGCAGGGCCCCAGAGAGGGAGAGAGCACAGGCGTCAGCCCCGACCCCAATTCATCATGAACTCATTAATGAAGTCAATAACTGGTTCGATCAAGGCATTCAGATCTGGGGTGGATACTGGGGCTCTCCAATGTGGGGGGAAATGGCTGCATTTGAGTTTCTAAATCCTACCCATTAAACACAGAGGAAAGTGCCCATCGCACCACTGAAGGTACAGTCACATCCTTGCTATATGTGCTCCATTTCCGAATCCTAACGCCCTGTCAGCACCGATCACCACGCCCCCTGGTGGCGTGTCCCTCTGATTTCACCAGCGCAGGACATGGCTGTAGTTCATGGGCCATTCGGCTGGATACAGGAGAAAGCACAGAACTTCCAACAACGTTTCTGGTTCTGTACCATCTCCTTTGGGTCAGGACCCAGGGTTTCTGGGGGGACGCAGCGCACAAAGCCAGGAGGGGCGTGTAGCATCAGAACGCTCCCCCCCTCCCCCCAGCACACGGGCACGGTCTCCCTGGGGCCAGCTGTCCTCCTCCAGCCTTCACACGGCGGACCCAGCAGATGGACAGGGCCGTCCCTCTCCTCCGTCCCCAGGGCAGGCCGGCTCTGACCCTCCCTCCAGCTAGCACAGGCCCAGGTCGTGGGAGACTGCCAGCGCTGCCCCACCGCAAATTAATGACCGGGCACCTGCCTCCCTCCTCACACTGCAGATCAGCTGAACGCCCCTCAGGGGAGCTCCGAGGACACGGCTGCTGGGCATCGCCAGGGCGTGTGTGATGGCGCGCGGGGGCCTGCACGCGCACCGGTCAGGCGTGACCACTGAGCTCCCTGGAACATGACGACGCACAGCCTGGTCCCCCAGAAGTTCACATCAACAGGAATTATCCTGCGCGCCCAAAGCGCACCCTGCCCCCTCCTGAACTGGGCTCCCCACAACCCAGGCATGAAAAAAAATCCTGGTTTAGCTCCTCCACGGTCTTGGGTTACATCTGCAACCCGCAACGTGTCAGGAAACGGGGCGCAGACCGGCCTCTCTGACAACAAACCGCCAGCCGACGTGCTGGAGCAGTGGGGCTCTAACCTGCTGGGGTCCCCCCAAAACCATCACTTTCACAGCACCCTGGCCCTCAAGCTGACACTGGCTGTCTGACGGAGCCCACATCCCCCCCGCCAGGGGCGGACAGGACCCCCGAAACACCAGGGGAACAGAATGGACTCCCGCGCACAGCAGGCTGATCCACTTCAGGTTTTACAAACCACAGAATGTGGTATGAACCCCCCTCACCAGGGTCAGGACATCTCAGACACGATCTGTTCTGAACGAGCAAGAGTTCAAACTAAACGATGTTTGACAATGAAAAATATTCTCTTTCTACATTAAATTGGTTTAAAAAACACAAGCGAAATCAGTCAACAACCCAAGCCGATTGGAATGGGAATTACAAAATATGTCCGTTGCTCAATTCGGCCTCAGCTTTCTCTTTGCTTTGGGGAAAAAAAAAAAGTTTTTTGTTCTCAGATTAATGACTAAAAGTCGGACCCGTCTACTGTTTCAGCAACTGTATCCGCCAGAACCTGCAGCAGCTTTTCAGACGTTATCGGCCGCCTCTGGACCAGCGCTCCGCTGGGTCTCCAGAGAAGAGAGAAAGGGTTCAGCTCCAGGAGAAACAAACCTGGGCCGTGTTTTGTTCCCGGACTCCAGTGCGCTGCTGTTGCGAGCGCCGCTTTCTGAAAACTTGCTCTGCCTTTGAAAAGCATCGTAATTCAACGCCAACAGAGGAGCGGGTCTCTGGGGGGCTTTCTTTTCAGAGAAAGTCCTGCGCGTCCCCCCCCCTCTCCTGCCCCCTGCTGCTTCTCACAGGGGCCAGATGGGAGGTGAGGGCCGAGGGAGGGAGGGGGGAGAGGAGATGGAAAAGGAAGACAGAAGGCAGATAGAGGCTAGAAACCAGCGCGCGTTGCTGTAACACCCCTGGAGCAGGAGCAGCGAGAGGGAAGAGGCTCAGCACTGGGTGGGGGGGCAGGGTTCGGTTGTCAGCTTGTTCTAGAGACACGGAAGCCGCCTCCCTGCCCTTTCAGCACTGCCTCTTACTTCCCCGTCACATTAAATTCAGATTTTCATTTAAAGATACCAATTTGAAGAGGACAGCAGTTTGTTCAGCCCTTTCCTCTCCCTTTTTGCAGCCTGGGGGACAAGCTGTAGCAGGAGGGCTGAGAGGTCACACACAAAACCAGCGCCACACTTTCACATCTGACCGACACTCTTCCTGGTTGCTCTCCCCCAGATTCCCAAAGCCACACAAGCCGCTCGGTCCTGATCCGGCTCCTCCCCGGACAAAAGACTTCTTTCACCTCCAGGTCCGGCAGCTGTGCGGAGCTCCCAGTCTCCCACTGAGACTCCATGTCCACCATGCCCACTACACCTTTAAAAAGGCCCTCACCGTTCAAATCATTGCCCAACCTACGTGGAGCCGGATCTCAAAAATAGCTGCCGAGGTTGGATTTTGGACAATGCAGATAATAAATAAGGAAAACAGGACAGACAGAGAAAAGTCACTCGGAGCTCCGCCCCATGCATTCTTCTCCCCTGCCAGCAGGGGGCTCTCGCGCCTGCGGGCAGGGTGGAGCTGCAGGTTCCCTGCCCTCACGCGAGCGGGGAACCCTGCTGTGAACACGACCGCACCCCCTCAGAGAGATATCCCAGCATGCCCGCGTTTGAGGACCCGGCGACTGGGCTGCGGTCAACAGGCCAGACCCGAGACCCGGGCGATTCGCAGGACTCGGTTCATCCGAGCGGCATCACGCGGCAAGCCGGTCACCGCCCGGGCCTGGACAGGACAGTCGACGCGGAGCCACGGAAACGGTACCTTGACGTGGTGCCCCTCCACGTAGCGCGTGGCGTCCCTGAAGAGCCGGTACATGACGAAGCCCTGGGGGTCGATGCTGTCGATCAGGGGGAAGGCCGTCTGCGGGGGTGGACAACGGCGCAGAGGAGTGTTAGCGAAAAGCCGCGGGCCTGGGCGAGCCGCCACGATGGACCGCCCTGCCAACGGCTGCTGTCGGCCGTGGGCCCAAACGGCACAGGCGGAACAAAACCGCTCAACCCGACAGAACCACATCTTCCTCCGGGTTTGCTGGCGTGTCTGCTGCACGCCGAGCCCTGCAGTAACAGGTCTGCGATGACGGGGCGCTCCGATTACAGTGGGGCCTGGAGCCCCTGTTCACACGGTCACCACAGGTCGCCAGGGCGGTCGTTAACACCACCCTCAGCTGCGGCCTGCGCCCCAACGCTATCTGAGCTGGACGAAGGCCGACCCTCACACTGCGGCACGCGGAAGATCCTTTTCTGGGGTTTCAGTGATGGCCGAGCACCACAGCAGCAGGAGTATTAATGTGATTTTTCACACTGCCGGTGCCAATGCATTTCCATGCAAGTACACCAAGACCGAATCTGCACATATGTGCTATATATAGATACATGCAGGGAGGGCAAGAGTCTCTTCTCCTCCAAACATGAGCCCCAGGTCACTGCAGGTCTATGCCAGCTGCCATTTAAAAAAAACAAGTTTCAGGAGCATCCCTCCCTTTAAAACACAAGCGGATTACTACGACTTTACTGCTGCTCCTGTTGAGACGCGAGCCTCTTGGTTTCACCCGACGGGCGAAACGCGGCGGCGCCCAGGCTGGACTCTCACCATGCCCGTCTCGGAGGTGAAGATGACGATCTCGTAGAGTGGCGCCAGCTGCTGGAACAGAAAATCGATCCCGGGCCTCTTCTTGAAGCGCCAGCCCGTTACCAGCTGCGGGGCAGAAGGGTGGAGAGGGCAGAGTCAGGGCCGCTGACCCGGCTGAGCGACGCCAACCACGCGACTGCCCGCCCACAGCTCGCCGCGCGGGGAGCACAGGTCAGCCGAGACAGGGCCTGCTGGAGTGAAAAACATTTCAAAGGCAACAGTACTTCTAGAAAAGGAGCCTGCTTGAGCCCCCTGCCTGTCTCTCGGAGCCGTGTCTGAGCTGCTGAGGTCCAGCTGGTTTCTGGTTACAGCAGCAGCTGTGTGGGGGAGGGTCACACCGCTGGACAGGTGAGGTGGCAGGTGAGACAGGTGGTCAGCCGTGTCCAGATGGCTGGCTCGCCCGAGCTATAGTGGGAGAGGCAAGGCAGGAGGTGGGACTATGGGGGGGGGTTAGGGCCAGGTACTGGGAGGAGAAAAAAAAACAAATGACCATTCTGCTGGCCCCCCCCCGACAACAGGGCCTCACCTGCACTACCACACACCTGCACAGGACAGGACAGGGACGCCACAGACAGGGGGAGGGAGAAAGAGAGAGAGAGAGACAGCGGAGACGCCAGGACGGAGTGAAGCAGGGACAGGAGCAGAGCGAGAGAAGGGAGCAAGCCATCCCACAACAGACCCCACACCCACCGACCACTCAGGGTGCAGCAGGACGTCGGTCAGCTCCAGCACCAGGGTGTAGGGGGGCTGGTAGTAGGGCTCCTTCAGGGGGTCTGGCAGCAGCTTGGGGCTCGTGGGCTCGATGATCATCTGGAAACAAGTCAAGGACAGCAGGCTGGTCAGCCAGGCAGCCGGGCACCACGTTGAGGTGGGCAGGCAGCACGCAATAAATTGGGCTGATTACCTCTTCCAGCACTGCTCACGGACACAGCGAGCGCAGAGGCCATGTGCGTGCTGCCCCGCAGAACGTGAAACATCACTACTTCTTGTGCCTCGAGTCTTCCCCCACCCCCCCCACATCCTGTGTTTCGTGTTCTGTCTCGGCGAACTTTCGTGCGCAGGGCTGTCATTTCCTGCGATTTTCACAACTGTACGAAATGCACCCGTCTCAAGCGCCTCGTGCTGAGCTGACGTGGACAGAGTTCGCGCTGACAGCGAGCGGAGCGGGCTCTCTGTCTGTAACCCCTGCCATTTCATCAAAGATGAAAGCCCCATGTTGCATGGTTGTTACTGAGAACAGGCACCTCTAGCAGAGTGAGATGTGACTTGCGGTGACAAGGGATGAATTGGGCTGGATTTGATGAGACTTTGCCCAGCCCACCTGTCTGCAATGCCAGGCACAGTGCTGCATTTGGATCAATGGGAGAGTCTCAGCGAACAGGACACTGGGTCCAGATCCCGGCGGGCGGGTCATAGCTCAGATCGGACCTGAGCCCACACGCAAGCCAATACAGGCTTCTGCTCGGACCTGTCCTGCCTGCTCACCTGTCTGTAGTCTTTGAAATACTTGTAGGTTCTCCGCACCTGCTGGATCACAGGAGGGTCTGTAAGAGGTAAAAAAAAAAAAAACAGTGAAAGACACAAGAAGGTGAACCAGCCGTTTAGCTCAGGCCAGTCTGGGCTCAGCCTCGCAGTCTGCAGACCGGCTCCAGTCTGGACAGCCCACAACGTCCCCTCCCATCCCCCTGGTTCTGTGGTCGGGAACCACACTGTTCCACTGGGGCCCTCTCGGGTCTTCTCCACGGACATTCCCTGGACAAGGCCTGACCTTTTCCAGCTGACCTGTTCTGACCGCAGTGAGGTGCGAGGACAGCTTGGAGAGGAAAGAATATGTGCAGGCACGCTCAGATCTAGGCTCTGAAGTGAATCGGCCTCTTTTTTTTCCCTTCAGCTGGAGCAAACTCAAGCGTCGGCAGTTCCTAACCCGGGTCCCGGAGGAATGGACAGGGTCCCTGCTGCTTTTCATGCTCCAAAGGATGAGTTCACTGATCTGCTTCCTTTAACTTTAAACTCGTCGTGCTTCAGTCTGTCACAGGTGTGAAAAAGGCCCCGGATTCAAGACAGCCTCCAATGCAGCCTTCTCTTCAACCTGCAGGTCGCGACTGGCTGGCTGGACAGCACTGAGCTGCTGATCAGCGAGGAAACACGGGCGCAGGTGGGAATGACGCTGTGTCCGACACGCCCACAGCGAGCGCTGCCGCACACCTGAATGAGGGAAGCTCAAAAACTTCCAAATTGGTACAGAGTGGACGGGAATTAAATCCCATTATCCTTTCAAGAGATGAAAGGAAACTTCGGAGTCTGCCCCAGAGTAAGAATCAGAAGACAGTTGTCCAGGTTGGTCAGGACCAGGGCTGGGAAGCAGGTCTTGGTCTCAGGCTTTGCGGATGTGCTGGCTGACGGCTCTTTTTTTTTTTTACCCAAAAAACCCCAACATATTTCAAGATGCCTCGCTGCCCCAGCTCGGGAAATTTAACCATTTAACCAGTTGAGCTCAGCCCTCGGCACCCGGCCTGAGCAACAATGCTCGCTGGTTAAGTCCCTGGGGAGGCTGCAGAAACTCGAGCTGGTATGCGAGGCTTTGATTAGTTTTAATCCATTTCATTCAATGGGAGGACTTGGGGGGGGTGGGGGGCTCCAGATTTTGTAGGGAGCGTGTGACTGTGACCGCGCTGTTAAATACCGCCCCTCTGAGATTTAAGCATTAGCATTTCGGGCGGCTGCTGCTATTGACACTTCTGCTAGAGCCACTTTATCAAGCGGGGAGCGTGTGTATCGGCGTGGGGGGGGGGGCAGTTTGAGGCGTGCTTCGCTGGTGATTGTTATGGTAATATGGAGGGGGGTGTCCAGACCCGAGCAGAAGCTGGGGTTTCTCTCCGACACCTTCCAGAGGGACCCCTCCTAGAAGGGTTCAGGGGTTCAGGCCTGGGAGCAGCAGAATCTAGGGGGCACACAGCCCCGTTAGGGTAACATGAACCCCGGACTCCCAGCGGAGGCTTAAAATGCAGAATGCTAGGCACACAAGGGAGCCACCCCAAACACCCCGCAGCAGCCCAAAGCATCCCACGGGGCCTGAAGTGGGACAGTCTGACTCCAGCAGAAAATGCTTTCAGTTTGCGGAGCCTTGTTGCACTTTCCTCCTCTTCCCCTCTCTGCTTCACTGATCTACTCGAGTCACACACCCCCCCCCCGCAGCATCACGGCTGTTTTCACACTTGCTGTGGAAGGATGGGTTGGTTAAGAGTGTAGAATGTAAATCAAGCGATGTGTTAAAACTGCACGATGCACTAAGAAGAGCACGCGCTCTGGGACGGGTTCCCAGAAGAATATCCCTGCATTACCGGGCTTGAGAGAAGGTGCCAGACTGACAGGTGGAAGGAGAGAGTCTTCTCACGCCCGAGAAGACTGTGCGGAGAACTCCTGCGAGTCCTCAACCTCCTCAGCGACGTCGACCAAGCCCGGCCCGTGGCCTTCAGAATCCAGAGTGAAACACAAACCGGAGGACACAAGGAGGAGGTGGCGTTTGCCACTGGGAGCAGGAGCCAGTCCGATACACCGAGGGTTGTGGAGGTAGTGAACCAGCTACCTGAGCCCTGGAATCAAAGCCGGTGTCTTTCGAGAAACAGCAGGATGAGCTTAAACAGCTCCTGAGCTGAGCAGCCATATGAGCTCGATGGGTCTCCCCTTGTTCCCAACCTTTACAAACCCGTAACGTTCCCTAGTCATTTTAACTAAATCCCCTGGACGCACAGATAAACCTCACTAAGCTTCCCCCCTGAACCTCACCAGGAGCCGAAAAGCAAGCGTTAAGAAGAGAAATTCGGCCAAGTTCCCTCCGACACAAAGGAGGGCACTTGAGGAGGGCCAGCAGGGGGACGTCTCATTGTTCCCCTTTGTTTTAGGGAAACAAAAAGAGCACAGCCCACAGAGCGGAGCTCCGCGCGGGCCGGGCCGCCACACTCCGGAGGGGCCGTGTTTGAACAGGGCCTGCTGGGGGCGAGTGGCTGGGCCCCAGCCCACACAATGGGGCCTTTTCATCGCGCGAGGGGGTGACATATGCTTGCTGTGTTTGTCAAATGCCATTATTAGTCAATCGCCACTCTTTTCTCCACACCCCACCTCTAGCTTTCCAGGTCTGTCACTCTTCTCCTCCGCAGAGCGATGACCTGCCCCACCCCTCCCCCACAGCAGCCGGCCTGGTCTGATCCCTGATCCCCACACTGAAAAACGGGACCGCAGGAATCACAGGGAATCACCCTCTGGGCGCAGGGGGTGTCCATGCAGGACAAGGAGGAGCAGAGGAATTAAATCTCACCAGCCTGCTGCACACGTCTGCCGTCGGCCAGCTTGCTCGTGAACGAGAACACCTCTTCGCCTTCCCAAACTGGTCTCACCGAGGCGCCGCTTTCCCAGTGGGGTATGCGCAAGGGAACGTAGCGCTGTCGGTCAGCAGAGCCCTGTCAGGCACCTGTTCTTGCTGTCCGGGTCAGTACCGGGCCCAGGAGGCCCTGGCAGGCAGTGGAGAGCCGAGCCCAGCGCAGTCCCGCGACAGCAGGAACACCAGAGCAGACCCGGGGCAAAACTGGGAATTTTCTCCCCATTTCCCCTCGTTTTCCCCTTTGGGAGATAACGGCAGGGTTACCACACTAACTGCACACGGGCACCAGGACGCCCACGCCCTCCGTCCCGCCCACTCTCAGGCACCGGCCGAGAAACGCCACCAGGCCCGACTGCACCTGCGGCACAGCCGAAGGTACCGCGGAGAAACCAACCACCTCCGAAATCTCGGCATCCCGTCACGTCAGGCCCGCACCTGCCCAGCGCTGGGCTTCGGTCATCCGGAATGCCATCGCTCGGCGTGGGAACGTCAGTCCTCTCTTTCCTGACCCCTCCCGGTTTGTGCACTGATCCCCGACCCCCGAGGGACCGGGTTCCGATAAATATTGTTCTCTCTCACACACACACTTGCAAGTGGCACCAATCTGTCAGCTTAGGGACCGTAAGGATAGGCAGCTGGAAAGCCTGCTAGGCCGCCCCCCCCCCTACTCCCTCCTCCTCCCATGGGGATCAGGCGTTTTACCCCGGCCCCTAAGGTCATCATTACCTCTCATTACAGTATTAAACAGGGTTGGTGCTTTGTAGTGGGGCAGTGCAGCCCTGCGCCCTGAGGCAGTCAGCCTGCTGGGACACCAGAGAGACCCGAGCGTGACTGGCTGTGCGATTACTGCCCCACTGCCCAATTGTTCTGCGTTTAAAGACAACCACTGCTCACTCTCATTTCAAATTACAGCTAATAAAAAGGTACAGCTGTCTCTTCTCCCCCTCTCCCCCCCCCACCCTCCACCACAAAATTAAAATAGCTCTGTAGCAGCACACAGCTCTGTCCCATCAAACAGGCCTGCTCGTCTTGGCCTCGTTCGCTCCTCCTCAGCTCCCGCCTGGAGAACGTCGCCAAGGGATTCCCCATTCCACTGCGCAGCGGAAGAAGCCCAAGCCGGGTTCTTTCCCAGCGGAAGAATATCCATGATGCCTGGTTTCGCCGCGGGACTGCGAGTCCTCACTCCCTTAACACCACGCGAAGGGACAGCTCCCACGAGCACACCTTCTGCCCTGGAGGATTCCCAGTGCCGGTACTGGGAACCACCATCGCTGCCGGGTCTGACGAAGGGGGTCACACGTCTACAAGGGACTGTTCTTCTGCCCCTACCCTCTGCTCACGTGCCTGCCTGGCTCCGCACAGAAGCGCCCTCGTGCCAATCAACACGATTAGGAAATGACTTCCTACTGAGTGGGAGACAGGTGGTTCCCACCTCACTGCCTCAAAGTGAGAAGGGAGGAATAAGACGCCGGGTGGGGGCTTGAGGCAGAATGGCGAGACGGGCTTCAGAGCGCTGAGCGACGCCAAAATGTGTCCCCACCGAACTTCCTCGTCCTCCCCGGACCCCGGAGCAGCTCGCAGGGAGGAATCAATGGGGGCAGTGAACACAACGGAGATGAGCTTCACCCCGCAACAGCCACAGGGCAGCATCAGGGGGACAGCTGACCAGGGCTGGGCAGTCTTCACTCAGGACAGGTGTCCTCCCTCTCGGACAGAATTTCCGAACCTGCGCGCTAAAGGGGGTGCTGCTTTTCAGATGTGATGATAAACTGAGGTCCTGACTGGTCATGAAGGATCCCCTGGCTGTTGGGAAGATTAGGGGTGTTAACCCCCCTGAGTCCACTAGGAGCCCCCCGAGTCCCTCCTCCCCCCGATCTGGGGGTGCGTTGCGTCTCCCAGGTGGGGCAGCACCTCAGAGGGGCCCCGATGGGGGTCCCCGCCTGCATGTCAGGTGCTTTGCGATGAAAATCATTACGCAAAAGCAAGGAATGATTCACTATCCCCATTGATCTGCGCGGCTCTTAGGAAAAGGCTTCCGACTGCCCCAGTCGAGCAGTGACCTTCAGCTGAGCCAGAGGAGTACAGAGAACACAGCGCCCCCTGCAGTCCCCCGTACACCAACAACGCCAAACAGCTCTGGCCTGGACCGCTGTTCATCTGGCCAGCCCAGTGTACAGCGGGAGAACTCTCATCAGCTGGGCGACGGTACTGTGGTGAAATCACAGCAGAAAGTCACAGACGAAGCAGCGCCCCGTCTTCCATACTTACTGAGCACGCTGCTTGGTTACTCAGTGTCGGGCCCTGCTCTGCAAACCGCCAGCACTAGGAAAAGGATTTCTTGCCAGAAACAGGGAGAAACGCACTGCGCTCAAATCACCAGCCTTCCTGGGTTTAACAAAGACCCAACATCGAGTCCAGCGGGGTTAGAAACCGCAGACAAAGGCAAAAAGCAATCCCAGTGCGCCAAGCACAGCTGCTTTCCTGCCCTGGAAAACAAAGTCCCGGGCATGTGGTGCCAGCGTGGCAGGCCTTCCTGTCTGCTGGCCCTGCTGGGCACATGATGGATGAGCCCTGGGCTCCGCAGGGGCGGCCCAGGCGGGGTGGCATGTGGCTGCACAGTGGCTGGTCTGTCCCCCCTTGGCGCGGGGCGCATCGCCGCAGCACGGAGCGGCGCTGATCACGGGGCGTGCCATTCATCATGGCCACGCCAAGGCGCCACTCCTGGCAGAGAGGCAGGCCAGAAGGTGGGGGGGGCAGGAGGGTAACAGCGAGCCAGCCAGGGGCAGGGAGGGCTGCATGGCCTTATGGAAACCTCACATCGGCAGGAGCTACACACACACACACAGCTCATTCACCATGATCAACGGCCCCCCTGCAGGCAGCTATGAAACCAGGATGTGCCGGAAATTCGCTTTTCCAGAGACACAGTCAGTATTACACATCCAGTGCATAAACATCAGGAAACATCACAGACAGGAGGTCACTCAGCCCATATAAATCTATACTTTGCTAGTAGCTGAATGATCTGAGGATCTCAAGCAGATTAAAAGATGCCTGAGCATCAGCTTTGACAACAAGGTTGGACAGCTTGTTCCATGCCCCCACAACACTTTGTGTAAAGAAGGGCCTTGTTGGTTTTAAATGCATACCCCCTGGTTTTGTGTTGCTCTCCTCACAGGCATCACTCTTCTCACTCCGATATGATCAGGAATACCCCCCCCCGGAGAACAGAAAACAGAAAAAACAATCAGGAACAGAATCAGTCACACTTACCACCGTCGAACTCATCTGGAATCTGAAACAGAGAGGAGAGAGAGAGAGAGAGAGAGAGGGTGAGCGAGTCCGATCCGCTCAATTACACATTAAATTAATCTGCCAAACAGATGAATAATTCAGATACATCTGCCAGCAGGCCTGAGCCCCCCTCGAGCTGGTGGTGGTGAGGAGGGGTTCCCAAACAGCCACAAGCTGTACAGCGTGGGAACTGGGGAGAGGGGGGCCCGCTCACCCACCCTGCCCGCTCTGGGACCCCCAACCACATTGACATCCTCCCCAGTTCTGTTTTCCCACAGGGGGACTGACTGCGGGCCGAATTACCCCGGTCCCTACAGCAGGGCAAACACCAACATCGTGCTCGCGGCAACACCACTACCGACTGTGGGCTTCAATGATCCTGCAGCTGCCTCTCCTCATGTTGGGGTCCGACCCCATTTAAAGAGCCCGTAAACTGAAACAGAGGTGTGCTGGATTAAACCAAATATCTCCTTTTTTTACTTATCTACTAGCCGATTCAATCATTCTCTAATCTCTCTGGTTTTGTGCCCCAAAGAGACTGAACTGGCTCCCCTGATTCGACAGCAGGACAAGGAAATTAGCACTGATGGGCTGTAAATGATCGCAATATTCACAATTACAAGCTGAATAAAATGTGCAAATGTGCACTATGCATGGACACCATGCAAATCGCCATCACGGTACAGTCAATGTGGTAGAAAAGGATTTATACAAAACTTTAAAAAAAAAAAGACTAGTGTAATTTGGATTTAGTTCAACTAGGTATCGGCGTATACTGCAAAGGAAGAAGTAAAGGTTTATTCCAGAGAAAAGAAACAACCAGAAGAAGGCTCCACAGCCAAAACGTTGTTCTTTTTTCTTGTCTTTCCAGCATGGAATAAACCTTTACTTGCTCATAATTTAGATTTTAGACGTCAACAAGACGCCCTCTTGTGGTTACTACTGAGCAGCGCAGCTGTCTGTCAGGCGGACCTCTTGGTATCTCAGAGGCCTTGCCTGCAGTTCCCAAAGGCAACGCACGCACCCACAGAATCAAAGCTGTCAATTATAAGCTCAAAGGGGCCAATTAGTAATTTGCGCAAATAAGGTGAAAACTTCTTCCATAGAAAATAAAACGCATTGCAATGCCCAAACTGTGCAATCTGAGCAATAAAAAATGCAGCAAGTCAGTATCTGTTACCATAAGTATTTTTAGTTTTTGATATTAAAGTTTTGGCTTCTCCCTTTACTGCACCTAATATCACAAACACGCTTTTTACGGTTGACAGCCGCCCGTCTCCCACTGAGCCTCCTTCACCTCAACAAGAACACTGACCTCTGGTGGTCACCTACAACATTACACCGCGTTGTGGAAAACGATTAACCTTAAATCGAAACGTTTTAAGAGCTGGATCGGAGGTGTATTGGAATTAAACAGAATAAGTCTTTATTTTTTAGTGATCTACTAGCCAAACAAATAATTATCTAAAAAGGCAACACTCTAATCCTGTCCAAGATTTACTTAGAAGCCAGAAAAGGGTCAAATGTTCCATCAAACCGATTCTGGTAGGCTTCATTTCACATAGTGCCTTCAAAATAATCTCAGAAAGTAAAAGGAAGATTATTTTAGCAGACAGTTAGAAAACCACAAGAGAATGAACCCCAGCATCTCAACAGTGGATAAGTTTTGTAAAGGAATTTTACATCATGGAAAAGATCACCATCACTCTTGGGTTACAGGCGAGAGGTTTAGCCAATACCAGCACACCTGGATTGAGTTTGTGGGCCCATTGAGACCCGGTTCTGCTCTGTGAAGAGGATGAAGTCATTGTTTTGTGTTGATAGCTGGTTATGTTTTTGCCGACTGCATTTCCACTCGTAACCTCCTGTTTACATTAACTTAATATAAATAGGCAATGACATAAAACACAAAATATAATTGTAAAATGAAAGACGAACGCAGTAGATTACTTTAAGTGTGTTTAGCTGTGCTTTATATGTTCTACCTGTAAATCCTTCCATCATCAAATAAAAAGTTTTAAAAAAACCCGGGAATGCATTGCCATACTTAAAAGCGACTCAAGATAGTTCATGTAATTCACGGAAGAACTTCCTTTTTAAAAGAAGCCGGGATAACCGGATGTTTTTCAGAGAATCGGACAGAAGCAGGCCGAGAGCTCCTCCGCTGCGGCTCCAGGGCTCTCCCCAGCCTGCCTCACAGATCCGAGTGCCAACAGGTATTTAGCAGCAGCATCACAGGCATTGACGCCTGTATGTGAAGGGGGTGTCCAGGAACCTGCCAGCCCACTTAACAGCCTCGCACCAAGCTGCAGAGAGGGAGGCTGGGGCCACTCCAGTTCCCACGGGAAACCGGCACACCTCCGGGCACAGGGCTGTCATCCAGGTGCGGTGTGGGGGCAGCGTGCCCCGATCGTTCCAGAGAACGGGACTGTGTCACAGCACCCAGGCCTCAACAACACTAGAGCACGGCTCTGGGCTGGACACGTTCACCGCAGGATGCACAGAGCTACACCAAGTACACTACCCTGCACCTACTGTTCTCCTCAAGTGTTTACACACCAAAACTGCAAACTCTCTCGCAGTGAATGACGGCACACCCCATCTCCCCAGCCAAGACCGAGCGTCTGCACACCCCTGAGCTCACGTGAGCAACCACTCACCTCCTCCTCAACACACCAGCACTCTCCACGCCACACCCACACTCGCACCTGGGCCAGAAGTGCGCTCTTTGAAGTGGACTCCCAGCACACTCCAGGTTCACACCTGGGCCAGAAGTGTGCTCTTTGAAGTGAGCTCCCAGCACACTCCAGGTTCACACCTGGGCCAGAAGTGC